TAGGGGAAGCAGGTTATAACTGGCCCGGTGTCTCATGGAATGTTTTCCTTGTCACTGGCTTGCGTGTTTCCACCAATAGCCTGTTCATGTCATCAGCAGCAAATAAGTCTTGAGCACGTGTGAAGTGCACGAGTGCAAGATGCACAGTTCACCCCCTGGAAGCGACTACCACCTTCCTCTTTCTCTGCTGGGTGCTGGGTGGTTTTTTGTTTGTTTGTTTTATTTGTTTTCTAGAAAGGATACAACAGATTACAGAGGAATTGCAAAGTTAGGCCCTTTGACTTCTCATGGGGGTGTTGAGGGGAAAAGGGAAAAAACTCTGATACACACTAATGAAGTCCTAAAATTTAAGTAAAAACAGTTATCTCCTGCATTGTGAGTGCTGTTAGGTCATGAACGGATCACTAATGGGCTTGAAAGATACCAGCATGGCTGGCAACTTTATCTCAAAGTTGTGGTTTACAGGGGCAACTTTTGGGGGCTCATGTCCTCGGATTTTGTTTTTATATTAAAATGTCCCTATGTGGTTAAGGGGTCAAGTTGGCCTTGTTTACAAGTATACCTTTCAACTTTCACAAGAAAATGTTTTCCTTTAATACCATCGTTCCTGCTGTTGACAATCTAATTTCTGCTAAGGTTGTCTCTTGCGGAAATAGCAAGATTAAATTAGTGACTTTCAAATGCATTGCTGACGTGATCTAACTCTTCAGTTTAATTTAAAATGGAACTGCTTGCCAGGGGACGTTCTACAGTGGGCCTGCTTAGTACCCTGATAGAGGAGTGGAGGAATGAGCAGGCCGCTTACCTGGCATTAGACAATTGAATAGGACCTGCTGGGGGAGACACTGGAAGGTGGTTGCTGAACTGGCATTGGTATTTTTTTACTCTCTGTTGCCTGAAAGCCCTTCTCTACATCTACTCTTTGGTTATAGTAATTAGTATAGTGGTTCCCATGCACATGACAGAATTTCTCTAATTAGTATAGTGGTTCCTGTGCGTCTGACAAGATTTTCTGTTTCTTAGACAGGTATTCACTTCTCATAAACCAAGACTTAGGAAACATGTTGTAAATGATGGCAGCAGCAGTTTATATAGGGTAGGCTTTGCAGGTCCTGTTAATTAGACTCCTCACCTTGCTCGGACTTGCTCAGGTTGCATTCGTTCTAAGACAGGAAATTACAGTAAGGATGCAAATAATGGAGACAGGAAAGTTTCTTCATTGCTCTACATAGCAATTGGAATGTCAGGAATTGGAAGGTTTATTCCGGATGCCCTAGAGACTGGGTTATCTCATCCCTCGCCCGCCTTTACTTACCCTGTCATTATGGTGATGCTACCCCTCTGATGTTTCTGGCCAAATAGCTCCCTCTGTGTTTCTCCCTGCCTCTTGGCTTCTGCTGCCTTATGGCTTCCACTTACTGCTGTTCCCACCGTGTCTGGTTTCAGGATCTGTGAATGCTTGTGAAAAGACCTCATTTATGTTCCTGCGGCAAGAGTTGCCTGTTAGATTGGCAAATATAATGAAAGAAATAAGTCTTCTCCCAGATAATCTTCTCAGGACACCATCAGTTCAGTTGGTACAAAGCTGGTAAGAGTCCCGTGTTGGCAATTTCAATGGGGTTGTGGACTAAACTCAAGTTAAAGCAAATAAATCCTTTTTTTTTTTTTTTTTTTTTTTTTTACTCTTTTGTAGAATCTTAAGGTTGCTCTTTAGTAGAGTCCTGGATGCTGCCACTCCTTAGTTTTGAGAAAAACAATCAGAACTGCACAGAAATGCAGACACTAAGCTTAAGATTTATGTTATTCAATCTGCAGGGATGTTATAATAATATATGCCATTTGTTGAAGTGAGGAATTTATATACAGCACCTTTAAACCTTTCCACACCCTGCCCAGTAGTCATTATTATCTCCATTTTACAGATGACGAAACAGGTTCCAACAGATGAAGTTTTTTTTTTTTGCCTAGTACTGGAACTGGGATTCAAACCTGGATTTCTTTGTTTCTACTATACTGTGCTGCAGTCAGAAAGATGAAATATATTAAAAAGTGCATGTATTATTATAAACTGAATTTATTTTATTGAAGTATATCTTTATAAATCACACAAGTTAAACTCTTTTTCATTTAAAAAACAATTAGAAGTTATTGGAATCGTATAGAAACTGATTGATCTCTCTTCCAAAAAATGACAAGAGTTATAAAGGGTGTACACCATATGTGGCCACCTAAATACATTCTTCCTTGTTAATGTTATTAACTTAATAGCTCTCTTAATCACTAAACGTTTCAAACAAACAAGTCTGTCAGAGTTCAGTTTAAATGGAAGAAAAATTTAGCTGCAAGACATTTCCTGATAATGATTCATGGAGATCCTTGCTTTCCTTTTGTAGGCAGTACAGTTTGTGCAAGAAGCTGATGTAACATCAATTTTAAATAATAAGTGAAAGAGAAGATACTTTTCTCTGGAAGCTTATTCCTGTTGTTTTTTTTTTAAATTCTTCATTAAAAAATAGCATATGTTGCAATTTAAAATCTGATCTGTGCCTAATATGTTGTAAGTATTCAGATCTCTCTTGAATAAAAGAGCACAGTTTTTCTTGACAATGAAGAGAAAATTAATAGTTAAAGGAGACCTGCCGGTATCAGAATCACTTAACTCTGGAATGTAGAGAGGCAAGTTGTTTGTCAGCGACAGCTTTCCAAACCAACATATGGATTTGCAGATTTTAAAAACCCTTTAGTTCCCTCCTCCCCACTCCCTTCCCCACGTCTGCTGTGTTAGGGCAGTTAAACAGACCTTATACTCATGAAGGTCATTGAATGACAGCGGGCTGTTTTAGCTCAGGCCCTGCACTGCCTTTGTGCTTGGTGGTATGACCTTGAGAAAGTCATTTGGACTTCCTTTATTTGGCTCCTTCTTTAACAGGTAATTTACTACCTTGAGATGTTAGATAAATTAAAACCTACATTCTCATGACTTTTGTGTTTTTGTTCAGTTCTGTTTAAAAGAACTAGGTGGTATAGATTGTAGGCTTTTAACAAATATTTGTTGATTGGACATGAACATCTAAAATTAAGGTTTAAAACACAGACCTTTAAGTTAGACTCTTAGGCCAAGATAGACTGGGCTGTGCATTTTACTGAAGCTAAGACAAGGCATTTGCCCATGATCACATAGCTATTGGTTATAAACACAGTTCTCATGACAATCATCATTTATACTGTAATTTACAGTGGTAAGTTTAGGAAGTTTAAAAGCTATTTTAGCCCGGCTGGTGTGGCTCAGTGGTTGAGTGTCAACCCATGAACCAAGAATCACTAGTTTGATTCCTAGTTTGAGTCCATGTTGGGTTGTAGGCTCGATCCCCAGTAGGGGGCATGTAGGAGGCAGATGATTGGTATTCCTCTCTCATTGCTGTTTCTATCTCTCTATCCCTCTCCATTTCTCTCTGAAAAAAATGAATAAAAAAATTAAAGAAACTCTTTATTAAAATAGCTATTTTAGAGTATAGAAGTTTAAAAAAATAGAAGAGGTAGGAAATCTTAAAATTCTTCAGTCAAATTTAACCTATGCTTTTAGGAGAAAATGTGCACATTCTGCAAGTTTGTGCCAGGAACTTTGCTCAAATGTGATTATGTATATAAATCCCACTTCAACCATAATTTAGAGCACTATACTAAATTAAAAAATAAGAAATGTTAAAAATCCCTTTCGAGCATTTTCACAATATTGAACTCTCAAAGTGTGAAAGAGCAAGTTTACCCTGTTGATTTGTATTTTAGGTATATCCAGAGTCTTCAGGAACTTCTTGATTTTAAGGACAAAAGTGCTGAAGATGCTAAAGCTATTTATGAGTAAGTATACTATCTTGACCTAATTCTGAACATAATTTTTGTACCCTTTAAACATCATATAAAAATATAAATTGATTAACTTTTAGTTTCCCACTGTAGTGGAACATGTGGCAGTATATTTGTCTAAAGCAGCCCATACAGCCAAGGCAAGTAATATAAAGCAGGAAATTGTACTGGGGAACAAGAAATGCTTCACACTCCTCTGATCTCTAGTGTAAGAAAAAACACAGCTCCAGTGTGGTGGTCAACAGATATCTAGATGTGGCCTCAGTGCCGCCTGATGGAAGGTGAGGACTTTTCACCTGGAGAGCGCATGCATCTAAAGGACAGCCACCCTCAGCTCCAGCCCATCATTGCCATACAGAAACGCCACCCAGATCATTTAAGGTTTTTGTGTGTTTAAAGAAAAGTCACAAGTCTAGATTTTTTTGTTAATCTTCCCC